AGTGAAATTATTCAGTTCTTGCAACACCTCATCAGATGGCAAATTCTCTCTTATCAGGAAGATGCCTTATAATGTAGTATATACGATTACAAAAAAGTAATCCCCTTTTGTTGTTGTTTTTTGTTTGTTTCTTTTTTTTTTGAGACAGAGCCTTGCTCTATGTCCATGCTAGAGTGCTGTGGCATCAGCCTAGCTCACAACAAGCTCAAACTCCTGGGCTCAAGCGATCCTTTTGCCTCAGCCTTCTGAGTAGCTGGGACTACAGACATGCACCACCTATGCCTGGCTAATTTTTTCTATATATTTTTAGTTGTCCAGCTAATTTCTTTCTATTTTTAGTAGAGATAGGGTCTCACTCTTGCTCAGGCTGGTCTTGAACTCTTGACCTTGAGCAATCCTCCTGCCTTGGCCTCCCAGAGTGCTAGGATTACAGGCGTGTTATTACCATGCCTGGCCTGTTGTTATTTTTAATGGTAGTTATAAGAAATAGAATTTATGAGAATTCCTATGTTTGTAGGACATGTACTCCGAGCAGAACAAAAAAGGTAGTTCATATATGATAGAAACCACAGACTGGTTTTCAAATTTGAATAATAAAAATGTACACGGCATTGTCAATAAGTTGGGGAGCTAAAAGAAAACATTTTTTAAAGCATCAATAATTTTTAAAATGTTGATCAACCATCCCAGAGAGAATGTTAAATTATCTTTCTCTTCTCTTTAGATAATGATATCAGAAAACTACAATAAAGTGAAGAGGTAATCAAAGAGTTTGCAGCCAAAAGATGTTTTCTAGAAAAGATTTTAGAGTTGTGCCTGGCAGTTAATAAAAATCCTTTGTTATTTTTCTGCATGTGTGGTATTTGTGGTATCTGTCAACTTTAAAAATTTTTAATTTTTTGTAAGTCTTCTCTCAATCTAAATAAATCTTCGTATTTATACCTAATTGTTAAATCATAATTCTGATTCCTTTTCTGACAGAGGATCCCCCAAATTTAAAAGCTTCAGGCTCTCCACAAAACCTGGATCCACATTGGTCAGGGAGGCAGGAGGCAACCTTCAAGCTCACGTGGCTGGTGAGCCTGTGTTTCTTCACAAGGTCCCTGCAAAGGAACAGGATTTATGTCTTTAATCAGGCCACCAAAGGAGGCAGCCTGGAATGGTAGCAGCCACTAAGTTTTGGTTCAATTTTTTGTTTTCTAGCAGACCGAGAGAGCTCGAACATGTTCTTTATCCTTGAAAGTCAGTCTCATCATCTGTAAAATGAGAATTTGGGGTTAGATGAACTGAAAGTTCCCTTTTAGTTCTATGTTTCTGATTTTCACAGCTAAGTGTTGCTAAGTCAAGGTATCCCATTACTTATTGTGGAGGATACAGAAAGATGTCTCATGAATTTTTAATGTGTAAGTGACTGCTGCTAAGTTTATAAAGCCCGATCGTTCTCCTAAGTTAAACATATTCCTCATATATTATTTCACATCATTCAATTATTTAGCATATCTTTCTTTCATAACAGGACAAAGGTAAACTTTTGTGCTGGCCCTTCTACGTAGCCAGGAATTCTGCATAAGTAGGATCCAAAGCAATTGAGCTTACTGTTAAAACTGTTATCAGCAACTTCATGTTTATATACCTTCTCATCTTTCATGCTACCCTATATATGTGATCCTGTTTTAGCTCCATCAAATTCTTAGGGGGTAAATGGAGCAGGGATAATAATCTCCATTTTGTGGATGTGAAAACAGATGGGAAAAGGCTTACATCAGCTTCCTGTTAGTTTTCTTTGGCTAAAAACTATTGGAATACAGGTTTTCAGATGCCCATTCCCACTATGAAGGTCCGCATATAGAAATAAAGGTCTGGGATAAAGAGGTGAACACTGTGGTTATCACCAGTTACTAGCAAATACTAGCCAAAAGCACTAGGATTTCATGGCAAAAGGAACATAGGTGGCAGCGTAAGCCATATGAGGGCCACATTCGTCCACTGTTGGGAACAGATCTGGAATTCATCTTAAATATTAAAGGAAAGGCAACTGAGAGTAGCCAGTCCCTGCAGGTAAATGGAACATCGTCCTGACACCTCCTGCCAGCCCCTGGGCACAGCTGAATGCACTGGGCGAGCGACCAGCAGCCACCAGCGGGCTCAGAGTCTGGAGCGCAGATAGCACGCCTGGGCAAGGGTCGGCTGGCCAGCGTCGGCTCATTCCCGCTGACCTGGTCTCCAACGGATGTGTGAGACGACGCGGTGTGTTCTGGGTAGCGTTAGAGAGGCCCCACGAAGAGGACACATGCCCACCCTGCACCTGTGCACCTCAGTGTGTGTGCGTACATGCTCAGGAGCCTCTATTCAAATATTGATCCGCAGCAGCTGTGTCGCAGCAGCCGCAGTGCTAGGGCCCCTCTGCCCCACCCTCTCAGTGAAACCAGCCGCCCTGAAACGCGGGCCTGCTCAGCCAGAAACGGAGCGGGGTTCCCGAGAAGTGTCACTCTGAGAATTCAGCTTGGAAGGTAGGAAAGCTCACGATGTGTATACAAGAAAGACCCTTGGACGTGAGTTTGGTGGTTGGTTGTCTTGCAATATTTGCCAGCTGTTTTTATATATATATACATATATATATATATATTTTTTTTTTTTGGAAGCCTCGCTGATACAAACGCCCTGAACACAGGTGAGACATGGAGGTCACAAGGGACTAGGCTTTGGGCCCCAGCACATACACATAAGTCAGCTGAGGCCTGCTGTTGCTGGGACTCACTTTTCTATGGGGTCCGTCTGCCCAGGTGTCCAGCGCTGTCCTCCATGACCACATCAGGCCACTGGAGACACTTTAGGTCCCCAGTGCCATCAAAATGTCAGTCTTTGTTAACACAAATAAAATTTAAATGTAGTCAAAGTGAGAATGACAGTATCCACTTGGTGCTTCTGGCTTCTCAGAGGTTTTAGTGGAGAAAAACACATCTTGTCTTTATTATCTACCCAAATATTGATTTATTTTTCTTTTTATTTTTATTTTTTTGAGACAGAGTCTCACTTTGTTGCCCAGGCTAGAGTGAGTGCCGTGGCATCAGCCTAGCTCACAGCAACCTCAAACTCCTGGGCTCAAGCAATCCTCCTGCCTCAGCCTCCCGAGTAGCTGGGACTACAGGCACGTGCCACCATGCCCTGCTAATTTTTTTTTCTATATATATTAGTTGGCCAATTAATTTTCTTTCTATTTATAGTAGAGATGGGGTCTTGCTCTTGCTCAGGCTGGTTTCGAACTCCTGACCTTGAGTGATCTGCCTGCCTCGGCCTCCCAGAGTGCTAGGATTACAGGCATGAGCCACCACGCCCAGCCCCAAATACTGATTTTTAAGATCTCCTTCTACCTAACATTTAATACCTCAGGCAAAATTATATTTTTTAGAGTTCTCTGTACATGTATGCAGCTTCACGCCCTTTGTCAAAGATAACGCACAGCTATTAGAAAGGAAGAAAGGGATGGAGTAGAAAAAGATAGCTCATGCTTAAAGGATGCTGTCTGAAGGTCAGGGTCTGTCCAATGTGTCTGTTGTTTATACCTCCCTACAGCCCTAAGAGGTCAGGATTAGAATCCCCATTTCACAGATGAATAAACTGAGGTTCTGATACAGCTTGGATATTTGTTCCCTCCAAATCTCATGTTGAAATTTGATCCCCAGTGTAGGAGGTGGGGCCTGGCGGGAGGAGTTTGGGCCATGGGGGCAGATCCCTCGTGAGTGGCTTGGTGTCCTCCCCTGGTAATGAGTGGATTCTCCCTCCATCAGTCCCCAAGATAACAGATCATTACAAAGAGCCTGGCACCCCACCCTCCCTTGCTCTCTTGCCTTCTTCCCCTCGCCATGTGATGCCAGGTCCTCTTCCCCTTCTGCCATGAGGGTGGAAGCTTCCTGAGAACCTCACCAGAAGCAGATGCTGGTGCCATGCCTGTTGTACAGCCCGAAGAACCATGAGCCAAACACACCTCTTTTCTTTATAAATGACCCAGCCCCAGGTATTCCTTTATAGCAACACAAATGGGCCAAGACAGGCTCCCAAAGGTTAAGTACTTTACCCAAAGTCATGTATGGAGTTGACTCTCATCTGCTCAACCCCGAAGACTCATCCCCGATGCCCGCATCTGTGAGCTGTGTTTATGACAACTAACACCCTGCCAAACTCCAGGCCTCTTTGGCCCTCAGCAAATGAAGTCAGTCCGCATTTGCGCGTTGCTCAAATGTTCATAAGTCTGACATTTCACCACGGGAAGGCAGACTCATAAAATATTTTACGTTATAAAAACTGCTGATAAAGGCTACTCTTCTAGACAGACCCAAAGAACAGACAGTTCATTATCGTTCTAACTGTTCCTTAATGTTAATGAACCTTGGTCAATGTTCCAGTGGCGGCATAAAGAATCTGGTAATTTAAATCAAAACCTTGGCTCTTTTCCTTGATTGTAAAGTGTTCTTAGATTTTCCACTTGACTTCGCTATGTTCTACTTTCCTTATCTATAAAGTGGCTACGATAGCCACGCTGAAGGTGCGGTGAGATTATATACATGAAAGCTCTTAGGAGATATTACTCAGGTGTCTTAGCTTTCATCTAGGAAATACAGGCATGGTGTGACATAGACACAGACTTGGATGATAATAGCTGATGTTCCCTGACAACAGTCACTGTGCACAGGCGCTGTGCTAAGTGCCTAGAATCATCATCTCGTTTCCTCCTAACACTATGAGATTGGCATTAGTATCATTTCCATTTTACAAATGGGAAAAAGCAAGGCACAGAGAGGCAAGAAACCCCCCAAGGAAAAAGGCAGAGTCAAGTGGGATTCCAGCCCAGATGGTTTCTTTTCAGAGCCCATGCTATTAACGGCCCCCCCTATGCAAATACAGTCATGCATTGCTTAACCACAGGGATGCATTCTGAGAAATGCATAGTTAAGTGATTTCATCTTTTTGCAAACAGCATAGAGTGTTCTTACACAAACCTAGATGGTATATATATTTTTATTTATACAAATATTTTCATATAGAAAGCCAAATGTCCCAGCACTGTTAGTGAATGTCAATCATTTCCCGTATTTGATCTGCAAAGGCAACATCAAGTGCCATATGTCAGGTTTCCATACATGCACCATTATAATCTTACGGGGCCACTGCTGTGTATGCATGGTCCATCGTTGACCGAAACATCGTTATGCAGTCCATGACTATAATAAAATGGCACTGGAAGCATTATATAAACAATTAGGTTAATTATCAGAGGGTAAACATTTGGCCCACACACTCCTGCCAGAAGATTCCAGTTCAAACACATACCTCAGGCACTCTGGAAGACAGCCTCGTTAGTCCCCAGCCCCGATGATGGGTGATGTCTCAGTTCCTGGCGTTTCCGACCAGTCTCTCCATTTCTTCCCTGCAGCCACCGGCCCGCTCTGGCCTTTCCCTCTGCTGACATTAGTGGCTTGCAGTGTCTGCTCACACTGTTCCCCTGCCTGACGCTGCCAGGAAGCCTTCCTGAACCCCAAGATCAGCCCGCCCTGCCTTTGGCCCTTAGAGCACCCTCTGTGTCCCTCTGTCCCAGGAGCACCCCATCTAGTGAAATTCTTTACCTCTCTGTTTCCTGTCATACGCACCTCAAGGGCCGCACTGGGTTTTCATCATCTCTGTGTCTTCAGGACTTCATACTGCCCATGTTCAAGTTTGTCAAGTAGTAAGCAAGTCTCTAAAAATGGTTAGACAATGGTACCTTGGAGTGAATCCAGGAACAGATGTAGGACATTCTCATGAAAAAACAGGTAAAATCTGAACAAAGTCTATAGTTTAGTTAATATTGTTGTACCAACTCTAATTTTCTAATTTTGATAAATGTGCCATGGCTATGTAAGATGTTAACATTAGAGAAAGCTGGCTGAAGGTTTCGAACTCCTGACCTTGAGCGATCCACCCACCTCGGCCTCCCAGAGTGCTAGGATTACAGGCGTGAGCCACCATGCCCAGCCAAGAGGTCATCCTTTAAAGTTGAGGATTTCTACTCCCAAAATATCCCTTATTGGTCTGAAATATCACCTTTAGAGAAGCATGCATACCTTGGGGATGAAATACTTTCAACTCAAGAGACTCCTAATAAAAAGTAAGGACTCCTGACAACTATCACCGTAAAATCTAGTCATACCCCCCTATGGTCCTAAGTTAGAAAGTTACACATTTGCAAGCCCAGGAGAAAAGGTGGGTGGCTTAAAATGATTTTTAAAAAGGTGATACATACATGGGACAATCTGCCCCCTCTTTTTCCAGAGGACCCTTTAAGGCAACTAAATAGTTTGCCAAACAAGATCATATCTAGTCTACAGTCATGGTCTCAAAGAGGATTTTCCTAAAGCTCGGCAGTGTGTTTGATTATAATTTGCATGTGCCTATATAACCCATGTATTCTAGTTCATTCTCCAGTTAATTTCCATCTTTAATTTGTATCTGTACTATCTTTAAGTGACATTAAGTTGTATTTCAAGCACTTGAGAGAAAGGTGCTCTCCTCTGGGCCTCTGATAGTTATCAGAATGTTCTCTTCATGGACCATGCAATTTCTTCAAGCTCTGTTGTACAATGCTTCTCAAACGTCTGTGTGTCTTAGAATCACCTGGAGAAACCATTAAAACACAGAGGGCTAGACCCCACGCACAGAGATCCTGATTCAGTGGGCCAAGGTGGGGGCCTGAAACTTTGCATTTTTGATAAGCGTTTCAGGCTTTTTTACCTCTGTGAGCCCAGTTTCTTTATTATTAAACCAGAATAATGATCCCTTCTTTCCAGGATTGGTGAATGGATTAGAAAAAGATATGTAAATATATTCAAAGTACTAAGACCCTAGCAGAAATTTATAACAATTATTAATAATTCCCATGATGGGGCATTGTTATGGAGAAAAGAAGATGGTGTCAGAGAAAGCTTTCTGGAGATGACACCAAAGTAGTCTTGAAGAAGCAAGAGGAATTAGCAGGGAAGAAGGAAGTGAAGGGTGTTCCCAGTATAAAAAACAATGTATAATGTCTGTGTGTGCAGAAAACACAGCTAATTGAGAAAGCTGCCAGAAGCTACACTTGGCTGAAGCAAGTACATGGATCATATGTACATATGCAGGAACTTGATAACAAGGGCCTTTTGTGCTATGCTAAAGAGATTCGCCTCTATTCTGAAGGAGATGGAAAACTCTTCACGTTTTTTAAGTAGGCCAGTAACACGCAGTAGGGACAGAGGGAGAGGAAAGGCTCTAGACTGGTGCCTAAGTTCCTGTTTTGATTGTGTGTGTAAAGATGCTAATGTAGCTCACCAGAAATGCCACAAGAGAAAAATGTGGCTGGGGAAGAGGATAATGAGTTAAATTTTTGATATATCAAATTCAAGGCACCTCTAAGACACCCACAGAGACAGCAAGGGGTTGTTTTATATGTGTGTGTGTGTGTGTGTGTGCATGTGTGTGTGTGTATGTATGTGTGAATCTAAATGTCTTAGACAAATCTTGAAACACAAAGTCAGAAGACCTCAGCATATATGTGGAAACCACATCCACAGGAACAGATGAAGTGACTCAAGGAGAGTGTAGCATAAGAGAAGACCTGAGGGCGAATTCTCAAGAACAACAACTTCTTAGAGCAATCCTCGGTGGAGTTTAAGTCAAGGTTAATGATAGTGGGCAGGTCCTTTTTTCCCTATTCTCATAATATCTACACACAAATACATTCTGGTTTAAATGTTCATCTAGGTCAACCTTGGTCAGGAGTACCCACAACATCCAACCCAGCACTTAGGTGGCCAAAGCAAATGCAAAGAAACATCATCAACAGGCCGTGGGCTGTTAGCAGGGAAAATGCTAGCTGGTAATCACTGGGAGGTGAATGTGAGCCCCCGCACTGCACACCTTGATCCTCAGCTGCCACAGTTCCTACAGGAGAGAGTCCTGGGACTACCTTCATTGGCCATCCCCTGGGGAGGGCCTCTCCTCCACGAATTTTTGTATATGAGTGATATCCCTGGATTTGTCATCTGCAGGGGGAAAGATATCAAGCATGAGTCATCACAAAAGTAAATGCTATCCACCTCCCTCTTCCTTAGGACAGACAAGACACCCACACGGATCCTATTTCCTACTGCCAAAGGTATCATTTGGGCTTGGCCAAACCACCACAAACAAGCAGGATCTCATATCAGGCAGCCTGGGGCACTCACCTTTCTTGCCACAGGCTTTGGAACAGTCCAACCCACAGGGGAACCATTCAGAAGCACGCCCTGTGAGCCCAGGGAAAAAACTAAGATGAATAATTGTGGAAAACTAGAGGGGAGTCTGAGCTCTTTCTCTGGGACAGAACAACAGAGGGGCAACTGGAGAGTTCCCAGAGAGAAAGAAACAGTCCACCTTCAGTAGGTGAATCATGATTAAAACACAATCTGCGTACAACCTGTCTCACCTTAAGGAAATTCAGTATTTCTAAAAATCCAAACCTACAGATAAATGAGGAAGCAATTTCAAATGTATTTTTCTCTCCCTCCTCCTTAAAGAATGAATTTAAGTATGCATCCATGCATGAAAATTTTTTCTCATTTTAGGGATTATATTATGCAAAAGATGAGGCACACCTGCATCAGGGCCTAGATATCTCCAAATAATTAACAAGCCTTCATTATCTTCAAAGGCAGTTTCTTAGGAAGAAAACCTGGGGCCTAATTTTTCAGAGAATGTAGCCCCCATTCTGATTTTGCAGAGATCAGGGCTAAGGGCTGGAGGTTCAGGAAGGGGACTGAGGCTTTGATAGGGTTGTCACTGGCTAAGAAAACGCAGGAAATGTTTAATCAGAAGGAACGAAAACACAGTGTACGGAGGGAAATCTGATCTCCGTAACCTATCTTTATTATAGCTGAAGGAGGGTAAGGAGGGGAGAAACTAATCTAAAACCACCAGACTGTTGAAACAGAACTGTAATGGGGCAAAAAGGCTTCCTCGAGACAGAAATGGCTTGTCTGGCTCACGGTAAACACCTGTGAGTGTTTACCAGGAGCTGCGGTGTTCAGGCGCTTAAGTACCCCAGACTAGAACATGCTATTCTCACAGGCTATACCTGGGAACTTTCTAGGGGAGGGGTGTTCCGGTTGCTGATTATTCCCTGGAACATGAAGGCTGTAGTTCTGGGCCTATAGAGGTCCTCTCCCAAGGCAGGGTCCCATGAAAAAGGGAAGGGAAAGAAAACCCTAACTGGGCCAGGCGTGGTGGCTCACGCCTGTAATCCTAGCACTCTGGGAGGCTGAGGCAGGTGGATCGCTTGAGGCCAGGAGTTCAAAACCAGCCTGAGCAAGAGTGAGACCCCCCCCATCTCTACTAAAAATAGAAAGAAATTAATTGGCCAACTAAAAATATACAGAAAAATTAGCCGGGCATGGTGGCTCATGCCTGTAGTCCCAGCTACTGGGGAGGATGAGGCAAGAGGATCACTTGAGCCCAGGAGTTTGAGGTTGCTGTGAGCTAGGCTGACACTACGGCACTCTAGCCCGGGAAACAGAGTGAGACTCTATCTCAAAAAAACAAAAAACAAAAACAAACAAACAAGAAAAGCCTAACTGGACTCTGAGCTCCAAAGAGGATGGGAGTGGGGAGTTAAGTGGGGGCTCAAGCTGAATCTTGGCCCCTCCATGGTCATTTCTGTCCGTTGAAGTCCCAGGCCAAGTGGTAAGAAAATCTTTAACTTGTGTTATTTTAGAAAGTAAATACATCTTTACAGAGGAGAAGATTCCTTTTACAAGTCCCCTCGCCCCAGTATGGAGATGGAAAGGGTGCTGTTCTCAGGAGTAGGTGCTGGTTACAATGTAGGGACTGAATGAGCAAGAGTGCACTTCAGTGGGGTCAGAAGAGTTGTTTTGTTTGCTTATTTGTCACGGGACATTTTCCCAAAGGAAACCTACGCTGGGGCGCACGGAAGGAAAGTATAGCCTCTCTGGCTGCACCAGGAGAAAGCGGTTCTAGTGCCCTTACCTGCTCAGCACCTACTGCCCCTTCTGAGGCCTCCTCTGGAACATCTCCCAGAACCCCCGGACTCCCCCAAGCTCAGTTTGGAAACACTGAATTAATCAATATCTCTAAGCGTCTGCTCCCAGCTCCGGTTCCCACACGTGACTCGGCTCAACAAGCAGGCGGGCTGACTTCTCAGCAGAGCCTAGCACGTTTCAGCTGGCTTGTCAGAGCACATCTACTGCTCTACCATGCCTTCGGAGGCTGAAAATGGTCCCTTTACTAAACCAGCAGCTCCCATCCCGGGACAAAGCCTACTGGTGGGTTTCTTGGTACCTGCATGGTACAAGCCCCAAACCAGTAAGAGCATCACTGGGCTATGTGCTTGGACTCCCTTCGATACTCATTGTCTGCAGCATAAATAATGCCTAAATTACAGAATTGTACCACTGGACTAAATTAACCTTCTCTAGAATGAATGTGTCCTTAATTCTTACACCAAAAACTAAATAATGCATTCCAATTTGAGAAAAAGGTTACCTTATTTCAAACATCCTGTATCAACAGCCCACTTTAAGTTCTGTGCTTGCCACTCCTGAATAATTAAAAGGCAAGGTCACACATGTCACTGAAGAAACCTATAATTGACATTTAAGCATAAGCATTACACTCTGAATTACCTCAGACTGTTCTTAAAAGTGTAGTAAGGGAGAGAGAACTTGGCCTAATTTTTATTTAGGAAAAGCAGTTTTTTGTGGTTTCATAACTTTTTCTTTTATTCTTTTTTTTTTCTTTTCTTTTTAACCCCTTTGTCAACTTGCATAACTCTCTCTTTCTTTCTTTCTTTCTTTCTTTCTTTCTTTCTTTCTTTCTTTCTTTCTTTCTTTCTTTCTTTCTTTCTTTTTGAGACAGAGTCTCACTCTGTTGCCCCCGCTAAAGTGCCGTGGCATCAGCCTAGCTCACAGCAACCTCCAACTCCTGGGCTCAAGCAATCCTCCTGCCTCGGCCTCCCTAGTAACTGGGACTACAGGCATGTGCCACCATGCCTGGCTATTTTTTTCTATATATTTTTAGTTGGCCAATTAATTCCTTTCTATTTTTAGTAGAGATGGGGTCTCACTCTTGCTCAGGCTGGTCTCGAACTCTTGACCTTGAGCAATCCGCCCACCTCAGCCTCCCAGAGTGCTAGGATTACAGGCTTGAGCCACCACGCCCGGCCACTTTTTCTTTTATAAAAAAATAAAAACATGTTTAAAGTAAACTCTCACTGATTAAATAGCACAGCCATTTCCTAGTTGGATATTGCAAGGTTATGAGACAGTAGTGATGTCTTGATCCACATGGTAGATAGTAGAAGGAAATTTAGATATATTTAGATATTACAAAAATTCTACACCTACACATTCTACAAGTAGGGAAATTGAGGTCCAAGTGGGTAAAGAAATGGTCTTCATATCACAAAGCTAGCTAGCAGCAGACAGAAACAAGAACCTCGTGTTTATGACTCCAAATGTAGTGCTTTTCCTACTATATCATGTAACAACTGCAGAGCAATTAGGAAACATCTCCTGGAACTGCTGTTTTGCTTCTAGTGCAATCTAAATTATGTTTATCAGACCCATTTATATGCAGCTAACAGGGAAAGCCTGCATCAGTTATGCCTTGCACACATTTGTTACAAAAGGAGTGATCCTTAGGCTTTCAAATGCCTCTCTTATTTGTTGGACCTCCATGGATAAACTGGGAGGATTGGACTATTTCTGAAAAGCCAAAGAGTGGGCAGAAGACTGGAATGCAGGGCTTGAACTGTAATGGGAAGGAGGGAACTCAGTTGTTCTCAACCCTGTATGCATTAGAATCAGGGAGATATTTAAAAGTATAATGTCAAGCTGCATATCCAGAGATTGTGATTTATTTGGCTTGGGGTGGAGCTGAAGCACTGGCATTTTCCAAATTTCCTTTGGTAAGGTACATGTGCAGATAAGGTTGAGATCCACTGGAAAACAAGGTTTTGGTGTCAGAGCTGGGCTTAAAACCCAACCTTGACACTTATATATCTATTCTCTCTGTTTCTCCCGTGTATTTAAAACAAAACAAAATAAAACCCATCCCACTGGGTTCTGTAAATATTAAATTAGATCAGTATATAAGGCATATAGTAGTTTTTTTTTCCCCTTTCTACATGTAGGTGGCAATAGCAAAGAAGTAGCCTGAAGTTATGCAGTGAAGGAGAAAAGGAGGAAAGAGGATGGTGTCTGGCATTATGAAAAGTGCTTGTTACAGGGTCAGTGTATCTGAATTCCTCCCTGTCATCTGCTCTCTCCTTTCTTGCTGGAATAAATATTCACGTAAATCAATGACTTTTACACTTAATCCCCCAGGATGTGGCTCTACCTGTTCAATGATTTGCATCACTTTGTTCAGGTTGGGTGGCTTCTGTGTCCCTTCCTTTGCATAGGTTTTCTGCTTGTGCACATCAAGCCATCAGGAGAATGTTTTAGGGGACAGGGTGAAGACAGGTAGAGACTGGCTGGGGCAGAGACATCTCTGCTGTCTGTCAGATACACGTTGCACCATTTCTACCTATATGACACGATTCTCTTGACAACCCAGCCCTTATAAAATGCCTCAGGGGAGTGCACAAATAAGTCAATATAGTCCTTCCAGAGGCATGAGATATCATTTCCATTCTCATCTCTAAACACAGAGCGTATGGAAAATTCTGATGCCACGGGGAGCAGAGAATGGCGCTGGCGTAAATAGTAATAATCAATGCCTTTGGTCCTTACAGCCACCCCAGCGAAAAAAGCAAAACCGGGTTTGGTTTTCCTTTATTCCTCTTGCACTTTCTTCAGCTTGTGCATCAGAATTAAACAGAGAGCTCTCACCACCCGGACACTTGATCACCTACCGGCAGCCCTGGCCCCGATCCCGGCTTGGCTTCTGTCTGTGTTCGGCAGCAGCACGGCAGTGGGCCCTCTCGGTCACCGCGGACTCTGCTCCATTGTGGGTGGGGTGTGTGTGGCCTTCTATTCTTGTGCCTGCCTTTGTGTAGAGCTCCTACCCAGGCCCTGGGCCAGCTCCCTGGCATCGGGCTCTTTTCCATTACCCACACCTGACGTCCACCTTCTCACGCTGAGGACTGGATTTCCCAATGCTCTGGCTGCAGGAATCTCCCTCACGCTGGAAGCTCTGTCCCCCCACGTGTCACTCTCCAGCTTAGGCGGGAGGCACAGGCAGGAGCAAGGTGCTTTGGAGGCGATGGTGGGCTCTGGCGCAGCCCACGGCTTCATTACGCAGTTGCTCAGGGAGCTTCCCTGCCATCCTCCCGCTGCCTCCCGCTGCTGTTTTTGCTGGGCAACACTCTCCATTGCTGCCTAGAACGTTTAAATGGGCCAGATGACTCGAGGGGCCCTGCCCCAGGGCTCCCTGGCCTTCCCCTTCCTCTCCCAGCACCTCCCAGCCCCTCTCCCTGCAGTCAAGCACACGAGCCATTCAAGCGTGCAACTATTTTTACTAAAGCATGAAGGAGTCTCAGGGCACAAACTATACTTAGCAGAGGCTAAAGTTCACATTATGCAATCAGCGGGGCACACGTATAAATCATTAAACAGCCCGTCCCAGGCTCTTTCTGTCTTCACTCCTCTGCAAGCTGACTCTTCCAGTCCAAACCCTTCTCCTTTCAATTCAGCCTACATATGCCCCAAGGCCTTTGTTCTCTGCAAGAAACAGAATCCTTTCCATTTTAGGCTTCAAGTGGCTCCCCCAGCCTCAGACAGAGATGTCCTTGTGGCCATCAGAAACTCTGATTCGGCAGGAATCTGTGAAGGAATATTAAATGGAACATTTCCAGTGTTGAAAAATCTGGTCTAGAAATTCTTAAAAATGCAAACTATCCACCCAGAGGCTCAAATTGACAGTAGTTGACAGCTGCAGTTGGCTGTTCCGGCCCAGGTAGTAAGAAGGGATTATATGTGAGGGTGTTAATTTCAGCACAAAAAACAAAGAGGAGGGCTCCAAGCTAGCTCGCCAGCAGGAGAGAAACTGGAGACGGGGTCCAGGCCTGCGTAGGTACCAGGACGCCCCACAGACGGTTCCTTGGGTGCTGGAGGCACCCAAGCAAATAGCCGCAGCTGCCTGCCATGGACAGGAAGTGCCTCAGCTGAAGACAGTCACCTTGCTCAAGGTCACATCCCTGCCAGGGGCAGCCGGCATCCAGCGACTGGTCAGAGTTGGGTTGGGAAGGCTTGGCCCCTTCACCTGAGCCGGGAGCAATGCTAAAGCAGCATCCCCGAGGCAGACAGAAACTGTGTCACAGCCCAGCTGATTCCCCTGCTTCTTCCACGCCGGTGACTCTCAAGAGCTCTCTCTACTGCACCCCTGCACACTCCTCTCCATCTCAGAGTCTGCTGCCCAGGAAAACAACCTGAGACAAAGATCAGAAGGACTTAGCAACATTTCTTAAACATGTAACAATCCCGAGTCTTTTTTTTTCTTTTTCTTTCTTTCTTTCTTTCTTTTTTTTTTTTTTTAAATCCCTGCCATTAGCAGTAAAGCTCTTAAAATACAAAGGCTAAATGCTGCTGTGTTGCCTCCAGCCTGGCTGCCCAGCATGATCAATATCTCTGTCCAGCACATTAGAAAGGCAGAACCCCTGGTCCCATCCCAGACCAACTCAATCAGAGGGCATTTTAACAAGATCCTCACGTGATTCGTACACATATTAATGTTTGTTAAGTGCAGACCTGCAGGACAATGAGGTGAAAGATTATTAAGCAGGAATGTTTCCTGGTAGCTTAGAAGAAGTATTCAGGCCCCCTTTTCTCTGCCCAGTGGGGGTAATCTGTTTTTAGTCCAGAAGTTATTGTTCCTACTAAAAGGAGTTTAAAAACCCATTCTTTTGCCACAGAGCAGTCACAAACAAAAGAGGTCAGAAAACAGAAGCAGATGGGCAGACAACAAATTGCTCAGGTTAGAGCTGCGAAGCTAAGCAAACAGGGGAAGAGCATTAAGAGAGAAACATGTGAAGTACCAGCATTTCTCAGAGTAGGAGGGAAAGATGAAAAGCCTCCCTCACAATACAGTAGATGAACTTTGAACACAGGCAGTGACTTAGAACTTTCCCAAGTGACAACAAGGAACCCCATATGAGAAAGGGTTCTCAAAGTTCAGGCACGCACGTACAGGTGGGCAAGAGGACAGACTCACACCTGAACAAACTCCATCCTCTCAGCCGCCCCAGGGAAAGACCTGACCGTTCTTCAGGGAAGGGGAGCTAGGCTGTGGTAGGACGGCAGAAATGTGCTGTAGGTCACAAGCTGACGGGTTAAGGTAGAACGAAACGCTCCCAGGAGTTAATTCAGAGGGAGGATTCAGTCATTCTCAACAGATCCATTGGCTGCTCATAAAACACTGCATTAAACTGTCTGCATTTCTTTATGGATGGGTATCTAGACAGAGTTTGACCTCTATGTGGCTCTTCCAATAAAAGTCCTTGCACAGAGAGTAGGTGAGGACAGATAGGTGGCACTCGTAAAGAATGTTGCTCCCCATGACTGATAGGTGTCGGCTGGGGACTGCTCTTATTTAAGGGCAGCAAGAAAGAGGGAGCTGTGGTGAGACCAAGGCACAGCCAGGCCTGGTGGAACGGAAAACCTGAGGGGAAATGAGTGTCAGCTACCAGGGGAGAGGCAAGGGCTTCTGGTTCTGGATGAAATGGAGCAAACGCAGCCTACCCCGTCTCTCCCACTGAATGCAGCCACAAAACCTGAACAGAACACATGGAGCGGCTATCTGAGGACTCTGAAAAGGAAGTGGTAGCAAGAGGATTAGGAAAGAAGATCAGAATTCAAAGTGTCACTAAATGGACAGTGAGTTTTTCCATGTGTCCTCCATCTGCCCAGTCTGGCTGAGGGGCAGCCCGAAATTCAGAAGTGAGTGCCAAATGTGGCTAAAGAAGGTGCCCTCTGCTTCCGGCTCCAGGTGCAGCTAATGCTCAGAGAGAGCAGGGGAAATCCCATTTCCCCCCCTTTCCCTTCTTTCCTCCATTCTTTCCCATGCCAATCCCAGACAGTCCTGTGGCCCCTGTAGCAGTGGCGATGGTGACAGCCTGCAGGGAACCCTTCCACTCCGATGGGTGGAGCTATGGCCCCAAGGGGGTGGGGAAAAGCCCCATTCCTTTTTGTTTGTTTTTTAATCTCTCTGTTCCCCCACTACGTGGCCTCAAACGTGGTGGCATTCGTAGGAAGTGTGCATCCAGCAGGGTCAAGAGAGCACTGGCTTTCTGGCCAGAAGGTGGGCAAGGGGAGCCACAGAGAACTGGGAAGTGCCAGGGAGAGCACAAAAAGCGAGCCACTCAGGAAAGTGGCCTGTAAAGTTGTCTGTGAACTGCTGGGCTCGGTCCTGGGCTGTGCGTGTGTGGATCTGATCTGCCACAGCTCGCCAGCGTCCGTGAGGAGGGAGCCGGGGCCGGGTCCCACACTGGCCACCCAGCGGCACACACGTGGGGGAGGCCTGAGTAGCTGCAGAGGCCTGGGAAACAAAAATCGACACTGAAACTACAACCCTCAGAAGATACGTCATAATCCAACTGCTGAAAACTAAGATGGCAAAACACTCTTGAAAGTAGCCAGAAGATGACATAGTACTTTAAGGAGAGCAATTCAAATAGCTGTGGATTTCTCACAGAAATCAGAAATATGAAAATATAAACAGATAATTTGGGCCCAACAAATTAGCAAAATTTGAAATAAATTCTTACTATCTAGTATTAGGATGTGAGAATATGTTAGTGGGAAAAGAAATAAGAACATTTGTGAAAGGGAATCAGGCATTATCTAACAAAATTTTAAATCTACACACCTTTTACCTTCAATTTCACTTTTAGAAGTGTAAACTAAAATAAAATTTTAAGGCTCACCCCACCACCGGCTGACTAAATGGACCCTCTCGTGGCCAAAGGAATATCCTAAAACTAAATAGTCTGCCAGGAAGAGGGAGGTCAGACATGCCTTATGCCCCCCTCCCTTCTTGGAAACATCCTTTGTAACCCATTAACAGGCCTATGGGTTGTTATACCCTAGCATAAGCGTATGCAAGACAAACCTACAGGTCCTCAATTTACACAACAAATCTGTATCTGTGGCTTATCTCTGATAATAGCTCCTTATGTTAAAACATTCCAAGCCTTTAGACAAAGCTTCATGTCTTTACCCAATTATAAGCCAAAGAATCTTTAAACCCACCTATGACCTGTAAGCTCCTCTCCCCCAGATGTCCCACCTTTTTGGGCCGAACCAATGTAATGCCTCCCAAGTACTGATTTATGACTTTACCTGTAACCCCCATCTCCCTGAAATGTATAAAACCAAACTAACCTAACCACATCAAGTCCACTAGCTCAAGGCCTCTTGGCAGTGGCTTTGGGTCATGGTCCTCAAATTTGGCTCAGAATAAATCTCTTTAAAATTATTTTATAGAGTTTGGCTTTCCCTGTTGACAGAAGTTTATCTGACAGAAATATTTGTATATGTGCTTCTGTGGCACTGTGTATAATGGCAAAAAAATACATTAATTAATAAAACATGATACATTATTACAGATGAAGTAATATTTAAATAAATTATAGAACACCACATTGTGAGATATAATGTACCTTTTAGAACAAGTACATTGGAGCCAAGTCTACTGGCATGGGAAGAAGCTATGATATATTGTTAAATGACATAAAAAATTTGTCAAACAGTACACACACACACACATCAGGTTTTATAATTGTGTGTGTATGTGATTATAGTTGACTAGAAAAAGATTTGGAAAGATAAAACCCAAACTGATATCAGCACTTGCTTCTGAGGAGTAGGAAAGGAAAGGTAGTAAAGGAACTTGCATTTTTTACTTTATATATCTGCGTGTGTATATTTTACAAAGAACAAATATTATTATTTTTGACATTTTTAAAAAATGATAAAAGGTCTTTGTGTATAAGTTGATGACATTATCCTGCAGTGTTCTGATGTTAGAAATTCAGTAGTCTTTGACTGTTTTCTGGGAACTTAGCATTTTATTCACTTTCCTTAAGGAAATCCAACCATTTCATTCAGTGTAGTCTAGTGTGTAAGTTGTCTACTGCTGCCTCACAAATTACCTCAAGATTTCCCAGCTCAAAACACTCAAAATTTATTATCTCATGTTGTTTTTGAGGATCAGGAATCCAAGTGTGACTTGGCTGGGTGCTCTGGTCAGGGTTTCTCATGAGGTTGCAGTCAAGATACGGGCCGGAGCGATAGTCATCTGAAGGCTTGACCAGAGTGGAAGACGCACTCCCAAGTCCAGCTCTAGCTGTTGGCAAGAGGCCTCCG